AAATCACACGGCAATAATGGTAACGGTATGGATGACGATCTTGATAATGATGAGGTATGTAATAATGCTGACGATGATGATAATGATAATGCTGATGATGATACCTAGGAGACACAAGCATCATCTTCAAATAGTCCAAAAAAAAAAAAAGAGAGTGAGATCAAATGAATGTATTGCCAAGATATTCTTTTTCGCATACTGCTCTTCCTATTTACCCATCAAACCGCACCCGACGAGGAGGAGCGCCTTTGGCCTTGTAGGAACCAGGAGTGACAAGACAAGCTACATGTTAATAATAAGAAGATCAAAACGAGGTCAGTAACAGAAATCTACGAATGCCCACTTTTATCTATCAGGTTTTTTTTTTTTTTTTTTGTCCTTGATGCAATTCCACTTCTTAAGATATGTAACCAAATCATCCAACGATCCATTCACCCGATCATCCATCCACACAATCATCCATTCATCCAATTATACATCCGCACAATCATCCAACAATCCGTTCATCCATTCATACAATCATAGCATTGCCAAAGAGATTCCATCATCAAGAGGGGAGATAATCCTTTTGCTTTATTTAAAAAAAAAAAAGTAACATTGATCAAAACGTAAGATATGATACTTGTCCATAGATATATACTGTATTGTGAAGAGAGACCACCAAGGAAAGAGATATAGAAGAAATCATCAATATAATGAGAGCCGGATGGGGGAAAGGGTGAGAGAGCGTCCAAGTAGAAAAGAGATTTTGAAGTAAGAAATAAGGTCATTCCAAAGTACTTCTACACAATTGACTTTGCATTTGCCGTCAAGTCCAGTATATCATTCCATCCAATCGCGTTAGGTTAATACTGTTGCACTGTATAAAGAGACAAATATAAAACGATTAGTTACCCCTTGCCTTTCCTATTTTTACTTTCTTTTTTCTACGCCTTACTGTCATTTAAGCCCAAGTCACTCTAACCAGTTCAACGTATCAGAAGAGCCATAACCATGTAAAGCCAGGGAGCAATTCCAGACGAAAAAAAAAAAAAAAAAAAAAAAAAAAAAAAAAAACTTGGAGAAAACATAGTAACAATGGGAGATAGATGACAGAAAGGGAAGATGGTAGGGTCCAACCAAGAGAAAAGAGAGAACTTGAAGGAGATACCACCATAATGGGAGAGAGTGTGTGTAACCAAGGGAAAAAAGGGTCCAGGAAGCAATCACCACCATAAACAGAGTCCAACCAGGAAAAAATAAAAGATCTTAAAAAAAAAAAAAAAAAAAAACCACCATAAAGGGAAAGAGAAACTAATAAAGAATAAAGAATCTTGAAGAAAATACCACCATAGTGAGGGAGAGTGTCCAGGCAACAAGCAAACACCATCACAATGAGAGGGTTCGCCCAACTGAGGAAAAAGGAGATCTTGAAGAAAAGACCACGACAATAATAGAGAGTCCAACCGAGAGAAGAAGAAAAAAGGACCTTGAAGAAAACAACCTCGCAACGGGAAAGAGATGACGAAAAGAGAAAAAGAAAGAGATCAACCAAGAAAAGTAAACCAATAGTAAACCAATAGTAAACCAATAGTAAACCAATAGTAAACCAATAGTAAACCAATAGTAAACCAATAGTAAACCAATAGTAAACCAATAGTAAACAATAGTAAACCACAAATAAACCACAAATAAACTAATAGTAACTTGAAGAATAGACCATCATAACGGGAGAGAGAGAGTCCAACCAAGAAAAACAAAGAACTTGAAGATAGCATCACCGCAATGGGAGATTATCCAACCAAGAAGAAAAAAGATCTTGAAAAAGTCAACTATAAAAAAAGGATGAAGGTAATTGCATTGGTTTTTATTTATTTAATGTTATGTCATGTTACGTTAGATGGTATGTTATACTATTGGTAGATGTTATTTTATTTTAAGGTTACTTATCATTAGCCAATATGGAGACACGCTTAAAAGGATTTTTTAAAAAAAAAAAGGTAGGGAAAGAGAAATGGAAAGAGAAAGAAAAAGAAAAAGAATTTATGAGGAAACAAAAAAAAAAAAAAAAAAAAATTCATGCCAAAGTCCGCATAGACAAAAACGACGTGCCAAAAATAAGAATTAGAGAAATAGACTAGAAGGAACACTATGTTGCATATATTGGTAAAAAGATGGAAAAAAGGTTAAAATATATATGGAAAAAAGAATGTTCTATAATACGTTTTTTCATTTTTTCGGTTTGTTTTCATCCTCTTATTTAGAGAGAATCTCCTAGCTTGTTTTTCATGCTTGATTCATCTGTGATTTAATTTATTAAAGGAACCAGGTACAAATTGATATTGCATGAACGATGATTGCCGATAAGAATGGATGATAACTGTTTGAAAGGTGATAATGATTTGATAATATCGAAGACGACGATAATGTCATCATAATCAATAGTGGTAATAAAATATGATTTTTTATTAAAGAAGATGATAAATAGAATAGGATAACTAAGTAAAAGAATCACCATGATTTAAACCAGAATGAGAGAAAGATCAAGAAGATGCACTTCTGCACGATTGACTTTTCCCTTTTCTTTTCAGTAGAGTCCATCCAGTTGTATATTGCATCGATCCTGTTGTAAACCCACTTCAGCCAATCTTTTGTTGGTATATCCATTCATCCAAGATGCCTTTATCCAATTGATTTCCAAGAGAGAGCATCCATTCAGATATTTCAACAGTATACTTGATGGTTGTAACCTATTCACGTAAAAATAATAAATAAATAATTATTAGTAATAGTTGTGGAGAAGGATAGGAAATAAGAAAATGAGAGAGAGAGGAAAGTCATTCAACAGAAGTAAGTATGTTGACAAAATTAAACAGAGCATGTAAAAAAAAAAAAAAAAAAAAAAAAAGAAAAAAGAAAAAAAAAAAAAAAGAAAAAAGAAAAAAAAAAAAAGAAAAAAGAAAAAGAAAGTAGAGTGTCTTACCATTAACAAAAGAAGAATGTAGTATGAAACTTTGAAGAGCAAAAAAGATAAAAAGTAAGTTAGTTATCATTGTTCTTTTTACCTTTTTGATATTGTGTATTATCATGTCGTGTGTGAAAAATAAGTCAAAAGAAGAAAAAGAGAGAAAGAATCTAGTCTCACTTTTTGACAAACACTTTATTGAAAGACCGGAATTTGAATTTGTGACATTTAGTAAATAGTATGGTTACCAATGCAGTCCTTGGAGTAAATGATATTTGATTGGAATCATAGGATGATGACAGTAGTGTGATGATTGGTTAGAGTATTACGATGAGAGATTGCAGTGTGATGATGATTACATGATAAAGCATGAGTAATGATTGATACACATATACAGTGTAAAACGTCTTTTATTTTTTCTTACCACCATAAAACTAGTAATCATCACTCGATAGTAAACCCTTTATATTTATTTATTTTATTTTATAACAATCATCAAGTTATTGTTGTATTATTTTATTTGATTTCATTATATTTGATCATCATCCAAGTCATCCATTACTACATCCATTTCCTTTTTTGGACTTTTTTTTTTTTCCCTTTACTTCATTTTTGTTATTTTTACAAAAGAACTTGTGCTCAATACTACCCAATGTCAAAGATATTATTATATTAATAATATCATTCATCCTTCTTATTAATCATCATCAAGATAAGAGAACAAAAAAAAAATATGTCAAAAAAAGAAAAATTTCTTCTTTTCACTTTTAACTCTCCGTTACCGACATCGCCATCCAGCATCACGATTATCTAACGAACTTTTTTTTTATATACCTGTTAGGTTGTGTGTAGATAAAACAAAATAAAATAAAATAAAAAATGTGAGACTAGGAACAAGTCAGTGAGGTTCTTCTTAGTTTATTTAAAATAAAAAGTTGATTATCTACACTTGAAAAATTTATATCTCTTTTATGTATATTTTGAAAATAAAAAATTATAATCATCATATGTATTAAATACCACGTATACTCTTTGTTGGTATATCTGGTTAGTTTGTACGGTATTCATGAATAATAGATTAAGAGTAGAATAAATTTCAAAGTCCCCTTTTTAATACGCGTACTTTTTATTTTTCTTTTTTTTTTTTCTTTTTCCTTTCTTTTTCTCTTCCATTGACTTTTTTTTTTTTTATTCAATAAAGTTTTTATTTTATTACAACTATTTTTATTACATATCAATAGGGTCATTTACAGATGTATTATATGTATGAATGCATTCTTTTTTTTTTTTTTTTTTTTGTTTTTTATTATTCGCTTATATTACAGGTATGAAATATGCTGATACGACAGTAATCAAGTACTGGTGCTCACTATATAACTTATTATCTTTCAATCATCCAAATTACTTTTTCAATTTTTGCCTTAACAACCAAAAAATCACTTATGTTAAGTATTCAAAAAAAAAAAAAAAAATAACAAAAGAAAAAAAAAAACAAAAAAAAAAAACTTTCTTATACATTCATTTTTATTTTTATTTTTATTTTCCTTTTCATTTTCGTTTTTTCTTTTCATTTGAACTTTATTTTATAACTAGTATAAATACTCCAACTTTTTTTTTTTACTTTTCCTTTTTTTGAGTCAGTTAATCATCAATATATTTTTTTAAATAAATCTTTTCTTTTCATCCCTACTTGATTGTATTGTGGATTATCCATTTTGATTGGCTCATTTTGTTCTATATTTAAAGTCAGAACAATTTTACTCTACTTTTACTTTCCAAATTTGGAACAAGACTTTATTTTTCTTTACTTTACTTTTTGTTTTATTTTATCTCTTTTCTTATACGTGTGCTTGCGTAATCAAGTACTGGTGCTCACTAAACAACTTATTCTTTTTCGATCATCCGAGTTACTTTTTCAATTTTGAACCTATAAACCAAAAAATCACTTAACACATAACATAAAACAATAAAAATGATAACTTGTGTTACAGGGTAAAGATGAACATCCAGTAAGTCACGTGATGGACCATACAGAGAAAAAAAAATCGATGAATACTGCATCAGAGGGGAATCGAACCCCTGCCGTCAGCTTGGAAGGCTAATATTCTACCACTAAACTACTGATGCTGTTTTTGGAAAAAACCGTTTTATATACTATATATTGCCAATCCAAAATTTGCGCAATTTGATTGGTTAAAAATAGCCGGGACGGCATTATGGAATTGCCGCTCTCATCGAGAATAAAAAAAAGTATATTTCCCTTTTTCTCTTTTCTCTTTTCTCTTTTCTTTCTTTCTTTTTTTTTTTTTTTTTTTTTTTCCATTCATTCATTCTTTCTTTTCTTGTCCACTTTTATTTTTTTTTTTATTTTATTACATTACACTTATATATATATATATTGATATAACCTATCTATAGTATATTTCTTTTCTTTTCTTTTCTTTTCTTTTCTTTTCTTTTCTTTTCTTTTCCTTTTTCTCTTTTCTTTCTCTCTTTCATTCATTCATTCATTCATTCTTTCTTGTCCACTTTTAATTTTTTTTTTATTTTATTACATTACACTTATTGATATAACCCATCTATAGTATATCCCATATTGAATATTACTTTTCTTTTTTTTTTTTTTTTTTTTTTTTTTTTTGGACAAGGTATAATTTAATATATTTTATAATATTAGGTTAGTTATATATGATGATATTCACTTGGAATATATTTGGAAATATAAATACAATACGCTGACTATTTTTTTTTTTTTTTTTTTAAAAAGAAAACAATCTAGAAGACATTACATTACAATAGCGGTTTAGGAAAAAAAAAAAACAATTTGTAATGTTTACATTAAAAAAAAAAAAAACCTCCAAGAATACATTGATTCATTGAGCACTTTTAGTCTTCTGTTGAACTAATAATCTTATTATCTTTTTTTTTTTTTGATTTATGCGATTTTATATAAACAAATACCATTGATGATTTAAGGTAAAGGAAAAAAAAAAAAAGAAAAGTAGAAAACAAGCAAAGTAAAATGGAAAATGGTCATTGTATTAATCTACTTTTTTTTATGATTTTTTCTTTCTTTCTTTCTTTACTATTGATTTGTAAAGTACTATTATATATATATAATATGATTTCAACTGGATGAATGGATAATATATACATATATAACATGGTACAATTTTGGACGAATACATACGACATGACTCACAACTGGATATATATATATACTTTTTTTTTTTTTTTTTTTTATGAATGATTATGATACAACCGGATGACACTTTAATATGAAAATGACTCTTAAAAAACATGAATGAAATAAGGATAGACATATATGGATGAACAATTGATAATCACACATTTCACAAAAAACATGGATGATACGATTTTGATGATCAACAAGATATACACAACAATAGATAGTCATGAATTTTTATAATCATTGGATGGCATATATTCAATAATAGTTTAGTTAGTTAGTTACTGTAGTTTAGCTAGTTTTATATATATTGTTAAGTAAATCAATCATTGTTATCATATCACTTTGTTCTTTATGGATCATTATAAAAAAAAAAAATAGGTGGATCATTTCTTAAAATCTTTTTTTTTTTCTTTTATTAATACTATCAAATGTAATCAATGCCTTCTTTTTTTTAAAATCATCAATCCAGCTGTAATAGCTATGTGTGTTTTTTTTTTTTTTTGGCCTTTTGATTTGACTTGTTTTGTTACTGTACTTTATCTTGACTGTTATTATTTTAGACTTTTATCTTTATTGTTTTACTAGAAGGTCATCTGTACAAATGGATTCCTTTGGCTTGTGTTATTTCCCAATGTGGGATCTGTGCAATTTGATTGGCGGGACGAGATAATAGAATTGCCGTAAAAAATCCAAGGCATGTCATTTTTTTTTTCTCTTTGCTTCTTTTCACTTTTTTTTTTTTTTCCTTTTAATTACATTACACTCAAACAAGCACACATATACATATATATCTATATATTTATCGATATATCTATATGTCATGAGCGTCTCTCATGGGAGGGCCAAACAACCACGTGAACGGAATTCCATCTTGAAGAAATATTACGGTCTTCCTTCATCTACCAATGAAGAGCAAGCTGATCCTTTGGATATTGGTATGTATCATAATTGAACGTATTCATGTATGTTTTATTAGTTGTTATACTAAATATAATTTTCTAATCTATCTTTTTTTTTTTTATGAGTAGATGATTCGGGTTTTGATAGTTTAAAGTATTTTGCCAAACTTGTCAAGGAACAACCTCTCAGTGGACTTGTCAAGAATGATAATATTCTTGTAGGAGGTAAGATTTTGTTATTTTTAGACAATAGTAGATGACAATTTTTTTTTTTTTTATTAGAGATGCGTGAAATTGATGGTGATATGAAAACTCTGGTATATGAAAACTACAGCAAATTTATCAGCGCAACAGATACGATTCACAAAGTAAAAATATTATAAAACTAGAACAAAACTGGATTGAATTTATTTACTAATGAAATGATTTTCATATAGATGAAGTCTAATGTAGAAAGTATGGAATCTGAAATGGGTCGACTTAATGATAATGTCAACAGCATCTCACAACAATGTGCCAAGATCAACCAGGCGTTAGAACCTAACCGCACCAAAATTAAACAACTCGAAAATAAACACAATCAACTTCAACAATTACAGTTTATCTTTGAACTACCTCAGCGTTTAGAACGATACATGGACTCCAATCACTATGATCAAGCTGTCAATTGTTACAATCGATCAAGGAAACTATTGGATCATTACCAACATATACCTGCCATCAAAGAAATTGAACGTGATTGTTGTTCTATCATGGATAAGATCAAGCAACATCATGAGAATTCTGACTCAGATCTCGGACATACCTGAATTTATTTTCACTTTTTTTTTTTTATTTTTATTTTGTATTTTTTTAGATATTTTATTTTTGAATTAATAAATCATCACCTGTTTTCCTCTATATTCCAGTATTATTATTATTATCATTTTCTTTGGTCTGTATTATGTTAGACCTGTGAATAAAACGTACCAACTATATTTTCTTTTAATGTGGTCTTTTCTATTGAAATTTATTCATTCCGCCGTCAATTACTATTTTTTACAAACAAGAAAAAATAACAATATATTTTATAAAGTACAACCTGCTTATATGGAAAGCATTTTTAGGCATGAAAAAGGACTGATGATTTTAACTTTTTTTTTTTTTTTTTTTAATACTCAATGCTTCTTGCATACTTGGATTATCATGATCTTATCTTTATCAGGTATATCTTGTCAATTGCTGTCATTTTTATCATAGAATGTACTTTCTCATCATATATGCTCTAATGAACGCGCGCTGTCATTGGAAGTCCGTTCTGATTTCTAAAGTTTTCTGTTGCTTTTTTTTTTTAGTCTCTCTTCCTTTCTCTTTCCCGATTCATATAGTTACTTTTTTTTCTTTTTTTTTTTTTCTTTTTCTTTATATATATATATATAGATACTACATCACTATATTCAACATATGATACGACGTCCCATTTTACAATTCTGTTCTACGTCAAAAAGATGTGGAAATACGGTAACACAGTCTCGCTGGTTCAGTTCATCTATCAACCACCTACAACAACAGATTCATTCAACAGAAAAGACCACTTCTTACAAATCACCTGATCCATTGCAGTTTCGTAAGGATACTTTCTATTTTTTTTTTTTCATTCGAAAAACTAATGATCATTCCTTTCTTATTTACAGCTTGGCTATTGAGTACAGCATCCCCACGTATCAAGGATTATCCATATATCAAAGCACCTTCTGACTGGGGTTTTTTGAATGTCCTTCCTATTAAATTACAACATGCTTTATGTCAATGGCTCGGTTACCGAATGTTACAACTCAATATGGGAGATACTTACTTTCCTGATCAATTCTTACTGGGTGGTAAAGTATAGAAAAAAAAAAAAAGAAAAGGAAAATGACAACAACCTTATTGACTTGCAATTGTTTCCTTTTTTTTTTTTTTTTTTTTTTTTCTATATGAATTCCTTTTTGTGTTTATTTCATATTTTTTTTTTTTTATAGCTAGTCATGGTACACGGAAAGCATTGGACAGTATATCACAATTTTTGACGGAACCTAGTGATGAATCGATGAAACATGTCAATGAATTAATTTCACCAAGGTTACAGCAAGCATTACTTGGACAAGCAGAAGGATCATTTGGCATCTATGACAAAATCTCAATCAGTTTACCACAGATTTATGATGCACGT